TCAGGTTGCTACTTTCACCATTTCTACACCTGCACAGAAGGTCATTCTTCCAAAACCTGGATCCCTCAGTTTCTCCCTTGACCTCATTCCAGTCATCCTGTCTTCTGTCTCTGTCAACTACCCATTCCCGGAGTGATACCCGATTATTCGGAGATCCGGACACCCAGCACTAGCTCTGATCTCCATCCTCCCTCATTGGAGCTAATCCTTTTGCACCTGGTCTTTAGAAGCACTTCATCCCCACTGGGATGTCAGCCCTGCTTCCTTTTCAGTGTTCACTGCCCCCCTTACATCCTCACACCTCTTTCTTCTGGAATGTGGTCCTTCCTCCTCTTTTCATAATCACCTGGCAAAACCCAGCTTCGGTTAAGTCCAGTTTCCTGCTGCTGTGCGCCTGCACCTGAGCCGCTGCACGGGGCTGGAGGCAACGCGCGGCCTGGTCCCCGCCGCCTTGTGTCTGACCACAGTGCCCCCTCAGCAGGGCCCAGCAGTCCTGCTGCATAAATCTCAGTGTGTGTGTGTGTGTGTGTATGTGTGTGTGTGTGTATTATTATATTATATGTGTATAAAATATCTTAGTGTGTATATATATATATATATAAATATATAAAACACCTGAGTATATATGTATATACAGACATATATTACAAACTTCTGAAGGTTTTGAGTGGTGACTCCTAACCCTAATTTTTCTCATAAGCCTTCTTGTTTTGGTGATTCTAGCTGTACTTAGTTTGGTGAATTAATTTAACAAAGAATAATCTTATGTGTAACTCACTAACAAGACTCGTTTATATATTGATATACATACACCTTGTGAAAGAAATAAATGAGATAAATAATTTCTTTAATGCATATTTTGCACCAGGTTGACCTTCTCAGGTTATTCCAACCGGTTGAGTCTTGTGCATAATTGATGTAGCATCCCGGTTCATATAAAGGAGTGAGTTAATGAAATTATATTGAAATGAAATTGAAATCACCAGGGGAGTACATGCTCGTGAAATGAGAAGCCATGTCCTATACTTTAGTATATTGTATTTGCTTCAAGTGACAAAAAATAGTGCTTTTTTAAAAATCACTCAAGGGGTGAGGTGTGGGCATAAATGTTCCTACGCAGTCTGAACGCCTTGAGAGCCGGGACATGTCTTATCCATCTTTGTATCTCTCCTACCCAGTATCTCAGCAGGTGGTAGGGCTGGAAAAAAGATTGACAAATGGGTGAATATTTGCTGTAGGTGTTTCTGGTAGAACCCAGTGTGTGCATTCCTGGAGCTCTGCAGAACCAAGCCCTGAAAATAGCAGGGCTGGGGGGAAAATACCAGGTAGAACTGACCGCTGACTGTCTCTGCGCTTTGTAAGCGGAGCGCTACCAGAGCCACACTTGATACCTGGATAACTGTATCGCGGCTGGAGGCTGCCACAATGTACATTCAACATCTGGATGAAAAACCACCAGGTGAAATGCTGCAGCCCTTTAATTCCCGCCCGTGTGTGGTGCTGAGGCAAGGCAAATGCATGTCAGCTTCCTGACAGCAGGGATCTGGAAAGGTGGGGACTGGGGGCTTTGCAACCTGCCAGCAGCCTGAAAGCCACACAGGCTCACAGCACACCCCTCTGGGCGGAGAGCTCTGTGTGCAGCCGCTCTTTATAAATCTTTGTGTAATGCAGCTAAAAAAGTGTCCTCTTGTCAGTGCACCAGCTGAGCACAGAGCTTTTCTTTCCTGCTGAAGATTATAATTCTGTTTACTGGCTCTTTTTACCCGGGAAGAATGGCAGAAACATGTAGTAAAAGAGATTGTATTGTATTGTCTTTCGTTTGAAGGGTCCAAACTTATTGCCAAGTAAATGCAGAGAATAGACTTGCAGAAAACAGGATCACGTTTTCTGGAGTTGGTGTCTTGATGCTGTTCATGACCGAGGAGGAGCAGTTTCCACAGGTGAAGAGGCTTGCTCTGGGCCAGGACCTGGTGATGTTTGGGGTGGGGAGGAGCTTGCAGCTGTATCATTGAAGGCTTCAGGCTTCAGGAGCCTGGCCATGAGCATCACAAGATAATTCACTTTCTTAGGCTGCATTTGGGCAAAGCTTTCATTTTAGTAAAAGAGCTACCGACGAGATATATGGGTTTATCCACTGAGATGTATCTTATACCTACTCAGATTTAAATGTTTGCTGTTCTCTGATGCCAGCTTTGAAGTGACTAGAAAGACAGAATTGATTTTGTTCTTTGTTCCCTGACCAGAGACACCTAAAAATAAGCCAAGTTCAGATGCTGGTGTTGCTTTCCTGATCAGCAGAAGCTCTACTTGAGCAAAGAGAGAGTTTGGGAAAGTCTGGAGTTATCATGCCTTAATTCTCTTTAATTTTTTCTAGTTGGTATATTTCTTTTTATATAATAGTTTAATTGAGATATAATTCATGTGGTATAAAATTAACGATTTTAACGTATACAATTCAGTGGTTTTCAACATATTCAGAGTTGCGTAAGCATCACTACTGTCTAATTCCAGAACATTTTCAGTACCCTCTGAAACACCCTGTATCCGTTAGCAGTCACTCATTATTCTCCCCTACCCCGAATCCCTAGAAACCACTAATCTACATCCAGTGTCTGTGGAGTTGCCTATTCCGGACATTCCATATGCATGGTTTCCTGCAAGAGGTGCCTGGCTTCTTTCACTTAGCATGATGTGTTCCTAGTTCATCCGTGGTGTAGCATGCATGAGTACTTCATTCCTTTTATGGCCAAATCTGTTGCATGGATAGATCACATTTTGCTTACACATTCACCAGTTGATGGACATTTGGGTTGTTTCTAACTTTTTGCCTATTTTGAATAATGCTGCTATGAAAATTCGTGTACGGGTTTTTGTGAGGACATTCGTTTTCAGTTCTCTTGGGTATATGCCTAGGTGTGGAATTGCTGGGTCATATGGCAACTCTATGTTTAACACTTTGAAGAGCTGCCAGACTATTTCCCAAAGCTGCTGCACCACTTGACATTCCCAGCAGTAATGTGCAAGGTTCCAATTTCTCCACATCCTCGTCTGCACTTGCTATTATCTGTCTTTTGATTGTAGCCATCCTAGTGGGTCTGAAGTGGTATGTTATTGTGGTTTTGATTTGCATTTCCCTAATTTAATAATCAAGTTGAGCATTTTTTTGTGTGCTTATTGGACATTTGAATATCTATTTTGGAGAAATGTCTATTCAAATCCTTTGCCCATTTTTTATTTGGGTTGTCTTTTTATTGTTGAGTTATATGTGTACTATATTTATTCAGGATACAAGATTCTTATCAGATATATGATTTGCATATATTTTTTTGCTTTCTGTGGGTTGATTTTTACTTTATTTATGGCTTCCTTTGACACATAAAATTTTAAAATTTTGATAGGGTCCCAACTTATCTATATTTTCTTTTGTTGTTTGTGCTTTTGGTGACCTATCTAAGAAATTAGTGCTTATTCTGTGGTCACAATAATTTATTCCTATATTTTCTTCTAAGAGTTTTATTATTTTAGCTCTTACATTTAGATCTATGATCTATTTTGAGTTAATTTTTGTGAAAGGTATAAGGCCTGTGTCATGATTCATTTTTTGCATGTCAGCACCATTTGTTGAAAAGGCTATCATTTACCCATTGAGTTGTCATGGCACCTTTGTCAAAAATCACTTAACCGTAAACATGGGTTTATTTCTGGACAATCAGTCCTAGTCCATTGACCTGTATGTTTCTCCTTACACCAGTATCACACTGTCTTGATTACTATAGCTTTTTTTTGACGTCAGGAAGTGTCACTCCTCCAACTTTGCTTTTCTTTTTCAAGCGTCTTTTGGCTATTCGAGGTCTCTTGGATTTCTATATGAATTTTAGGATCAGCTTGTCAATTTCTGCAAAAACAGAAGCTGGGATTTTAATAAGGATTGCATTGAATCTGCAGATCAATTTGGGGAGTATTGCTATCCTAACAATATTGTCTTCTACTCCATGAGCATAGGATGTCTTTCTATTTATTTAGGTCTTTAATTTCTTTAAATGATGTTTTAGTAGTTTTCAATGTTCAAGTCTTGTACGTCTTTTGTTAAATGTATTCATATTTTATTCCTTTTGATGCTGTTCTAAAGTGGGTCTCTTGTAGCCACGTATAGTTTTTATCCATTCTACCAATTTCTGCCTTTTTATTGGAGTGTTTATACCATTTAATGAAATTACTGAAAAGGTAGAATTTATATCTGCATTTCCCTATAGGTCTGATGTCTTTTGTGTTTCTTTATTCCTCTATTTTCCTTCTTTTGTGTTAAATAGTTTCTAGTACAGTCATGCATTGCTTAACAGTGGAGATACATTCTGAGAACTGCATTGTCAGGTGATTTTGTAGTTGTGTGAACATCATAGAATGTACTTGTACAGACCTAGATGGTATAGCCTACTACACACCTAGGATGTAGGATACTAATCTTCTAGGAACACCATTGTGTATGTGGTCTGTTGTTGGCCAGAACGTCATTATGCAGTGCATGACTGTATACCATTATAATTCCATTGTTGTTTATTTTATTTTATTATACATTTTTTTAGTTATTTTCTTTGTGGTTGCCCTGGGGATTACAATGAACGTAATCTTGCCTTATTCTTAATCTTTTTTCTGGACTTAAACCTCTCCCTGTAGGAGTCTCATTGGGGCAGAGCTGAATTGGTATGATTGGAAAAAGAGAGGACAGAATGGAGACCCAGGAACAGTTTGTCATCTGAGAATTGTCTGTGTTGGTGGATTTATCTGTTAACTTCTTGGTGGAATTTGGTCATTTTTACAGTAAACTTCAGTTCCTTCTCCATTGAGCTATGATATTTTCCAAATGCTTGATCTGATACGATTTCTAGTAATTATATCAGTAGCCTTCCCTCCTGGCTTGGAGATTTGGGAGGCTGATACTGGGTGGTTCTAAGTCAGCACGATGGACTTTGCCACCCTCCCCCTGGAACTTGCTCGCTGAGCGTCCTGTTGAGTCTGATAGCTCCCTGTCCCCCAGGTCTGGAGGGACCCTGGTGCCAGAGACCTTCTCCAACTTCTCCGTATGGGCAGTCTGTCCTGAGGGAAAGAGCTGGCTGAATGCACGTAAGCACACCAGGACACCAGGGTTTGGCCAGAAGGCAGTTCCTCTCCTGCTCCCAGGACTTCTCAGAGGTAACTTGGAATTTGGAAAATGAAGGCTTGGAAACTTTCATTTATGTCTTCTTAGTGGAATCTTAGGCCATTGTTAGGAAAGACTGTAGGCCTGCCTGGGTGGATTTCTCTAATACCACTTAAGCCATACCATATGAGCAATTACTTAGTACTCTTCCCCTAAATGAACTTTACAGATGGTCCTCAACATATTATGTTAAGCTATTATAGTAGTTAATACTTTACAAAGATTTCCACATGGGTTCTCATTTACTGCTTATAATCGCCTTGTGAATTTGATACTGCTAGTCTTATTTTGTAGACCAGGAAACAGGTTTAGATCAAAGTGATGTATCCAGAGTCTCCTTGCTTCATGAACTCACTGAGAACATATGGATTGAGCTCCTGCATTGTGCTAGGCACTATTCTGACTCAGGACACACAGTGAACACAATAGATGCAAACCCCTGCTCTCCTGGAGATTCTAGTTTATTTGGGTGTGAGTGGGGTGTGGAGGTGGGGACATGCTTGGAGAGACAGACCATATACAATTGACAGCATGAAAAAGTAAATTACATGTTTGTTACAAGGCATAAATGTTGTAAAGAAAAGAAAAAGTAGACCAAGTTTAGAGGAGTGGGTTAGGTTGCAGTTTTAAATGGAGCAGTCAGGGAGGTCTTGTTAAAAAGCTGACGTTTGAACATGAATTTAAGAAGTTGTGGGAACTAGCCGTTTAGCCTCTTGGACAAGCGCATTTTAGTTAGAAGAAAAGGTGGGTGCAAAGGCCCTAAGGCCAGTCCATGCACGCTGGCGTGTTGGAGGAACACCGAGGAAGCCTGGTGGCTGGAGGGAAGCCAGCAGAGAGTAGTGTGGGGGTCGGGAGAGCCAAGAGGTAGCAGGAACCTGACCGTCTCTCTCATTGCAGGCTATTGGGCGAATGCTAGATTTTATGATGGGAAATCAGTGCAGGGTTTTAAGCAGAGGAGAGAGGATATGCATTCTATTTTAATAGGCTCACTCTGGCCTCTGTGTTGGGAATAGAATGTGGGGGGGTGGAGGATGAGGGTAGACCAGGAGACCATTCAGAGGTCATTAGAGAAATCCATGCTAGTAATTCAGACAAGAGATAATGATGGCTTGCTGCACTGGTAGCAGTGGAAGTAGTGAAAAATGGTCACATTCTGGATATATTTTGAAGGTAGAGCCCTTAAGATATCCTGGCAGAATGGGCATGGGGCATAAGAAAGAGAAATCATCTATAATGATGTTGAGGATTTTAGCTTGCATAGCTAGATGGAGTTGTCACCAGCTGAGATGGGGAAGTCTGTAGGTAGAGAAGGTTTGGGTACAAAAAAAGATTTTTGTGTTGTTAGTGCCGTCAACTGGATTCTGACTCCTAGTGACCCTGTGGACGGCAGAGCAGAACTCTGCCCAGTCTTTTTGCACCATCCTCTCTCCTTCCAGTGCTGTATCAGACAGTGCTCTGCTGCTATTCATAGGGTTTTCATGGCTAATTTTTTCGGAAATAGGTGCCAGGTCCTTCTTCCTAGTCTGTCTGAGTCTGGAAGCTCCGCTGAAACCTGTCCACCATGGGGGACCCTGCTGGTATTGGAAATCCCTGTGGCATAGCTTTTAGCATCACAGCAATACACAGCCACCACAGTATGACAACCAACAGACAGGTGGTGTGGTGGGGTTCCCTGACCAGGAGACAAACTGGCTGTGGTGGTGAGAGCGCCAGATGTTAACCACTAGACCACCAGGGCAGATTAGATTAGATTAAAAAGAGATTAGAAGTTGAGTTCTGACCATGTTGAGTTTGACATTATATGACACCAAGATGGAGATGCTGAGTGGGCAGTTATATCCAGATCTGATAGTTTAAGACAGTGATCTGAGCTGGAGATTTGATGGGAGTCTTTGGCCTATGGTTGGTATGTAAGGGAATCAGATCAGATGAGATCCCAGTGATAGAAGAGTTTCAAGGCTTGGGCCCTGGGACATTCCAGCTTTATGAGGAGCAAGAGAAGAGGAAGAGCCAGCAAAGGAGACCAAGAGGGAACAAGCAGAGAGGTAGGGGACACAAAGAGTCTGGCATCTTGGAAGCCACAGGAAATCATCTCAGAGGAGGGAGTGATGACCCATGTCCAGTGTGCTGATGGGCCAGCTGAGATGAGGACCGAGCATTGACTCTGGGATGAATGCCATGTGGGCCATGGGTGGTTCTGGCAACAAAAGCCCGATTGGAGTGGGTTTGGAGGGAAGGATGGAGGGGAGGAATCAGAGGTAGAGATTGTTGACAACTGTTTTGAGAAGCTTTGCTGCAAAGGGGAGCAGAATGTGGGGTGATACCAGGTAGGGTAAATAAGGCCAAGGTGATTAGTTTTTAATTGGAAGCCTTAGCGTTATATTTACTTGCTGATGGATGATTCACTAGAGAGTGAAGCATTGATAATGTTTGACAGAGAGTAGCTGAAATCGTTTCTTGAGGTTTTGCTTCAGGAGGAGCGCAGATAGTCCCTGGTGGGAATAGACTGACTGACAGATATGTGGGTGCCGAGGTGGTGGCGCACGGAGGAGGAGGCTCTGCACTTCTCTTCTGATTGCTTGTATGTTCTTTGTGAAATAGGAAACAGAGTCACAGCTGAGAGTGCCATGGTGGAGGAGGGGTTGTGAGTTTGCAGAGACAAGTGACAGATTGAGAAGTCCTCTGGAACGAGGCGGGTGCACACGAACACCTGGTAGCATTAAGAGCCCACCTGAAGCTCGTGGCCACAGATGGAAAGACCCCAATCAGGGTGATGTGTGTTTCTCTAGACTACTCAGCTTGGGAGTTGGAGGCATGCAGAAGGTCAAGAATTGAATTATCCTTTGGCGAAGTGAGAGAGTGGCCGGAGTTGACAGCGTGTGCTGGAGAGGGATGACACCACTCCCGTGAAGATTACGACAGTGACCTGAGGAGAGTGGACTTCAGGGGTCAGGGGGAGATCCGGCTGCATGATGGATGGATTGGAGGTGCAGGGGAAGGGTCGATGCTGTCCACTTAGGGGCACTGGGGGAAGTGATGGGCTGAGGTTGTGTGTGAAACTGGGAATATGGGGCATTTGGGGAAACCTAAATTCCAATGTTCCTGTCCCCAAGCCCCAGCTTCTCGTCACCCTGCCTCACCTTTTCACTGTCTGCACTTTGAAAGGGCCTGCTTGAGAAATCGGATTGAACCTCTAACCATATACCACATTGCCACTATGCCCCTTTGGTAACAATGGGACTGTATTGCTGATATGGTACCAACAGGTTTCCTTGCTGAGGCAGAGGGAGGCCTGCAGCCCTCTCACCCCGGGGGTGAAGAAAGCGGAAATGTGAAAGGTGACATTTGAAGCTGCCCCTCCCTTCTTCACATGCCTTGGAAACTAAGTGCCATATAATCTTTTTTTTTTTAACCTTGACTTTAATGTGTTAGGATTTTTGCATCTTTCTATGCAGTGCATTCTCTGGTCCAGAGATATGTCGAGTCTGCTCAGGTATGAGGGAAAGCATGAAAGCATCCTGGAAAAAATGCACTGTCAGGCCACTGGAATTGTGCATTCTTTCCTGCGTCTGCCCACGGCCACCTCCTAGGACGTTCTGTTTGGGAATCTGTCTTTAGCAAATTCCACGAACTGTGAAATGGCTTCATAGTCACAAAAGATTCATGTTGAAGAGGCCAAAATACCAGAAAATGACATTCTGGCACAGCAAAGATATTTTTAAATGTTTAGGATTTATGAAGAGAGACAGTCTTGGTGGAATATAACTCAGCCCCAGTTCACACTGCTATGACTGAAGTAGCTGAATCTGAAAGATAGTTTTGTTTTTTTTCTTCAAGTGGAGAATGTTCTTGGTAAAAAAAGAAATCTCTGGTTAAGAAACCATAACGCAGCCTTGGCCTTGATTCAGCGTGGGGAACGAGCTGCAGCTGTGATTGCTGAGCTCAGATCAGCTCTGCTCCTGCCTAGTGAAGCTTTAAGTCAAAGGTCGTTTAAAACACTAACTAGAATCGAAAATATTAATACCCTGCTTTAGTTCTGTGGTTTCAGGGTGGCTGAGGTGGTTAAACGAGCAGTATTTTTAGAACTGGACACGTTTAAAAACACTGTTCTGAGATGCTGTGGCTGCAGGTTCTCCTAAAATAAATCAACAGCCACATTTTCCACATTTATCTCCGTTGCAGTTTGTTTTTTATTTTTTGTTACTTTTTGGTGTGTTTTGAGAGCTTTGGGTCATTTTCGTATATATGCTGTCCTCTCGGCTCTGCTGTCAAGTTGGTCTCTTATCTGGGTAAGTGTTCGTCAACGTTCTTGGTGTTTCCACGTACCAGATTCGAGTGGCAGTGACAGCTACTGGTCAAAGACAAGAGAGGACCTGCTCCCTAGAACGGTGTACAATTCTCTAGACAGTCAAGCAGCAGACATTCCATGAGCATCTGTTACATGCAAGGTCACGTGCTTGGCTGTGAGGGGCGGAGGAGGAGACATGGGGCAGGTTTCTGATTTCATGTTTCTTGGACTAATGTTAACAAGCAGAGGATGTGGAACTCCAGTTCCCCAAACCTGAGTGCAGGACAGAGCAGCACTGAGGCCATGAGAAGCACGTGCGGAGTGCTAGAAGATCCTCTCGCTTAAACTAAGACATTTTTGAGTCTGCACTAGAGAGAAGAGAGGAACCGAGAGGAGAGGGCAGAGTACTCAGGAGCCGCTTGTGCTGGACCCTAAATATTTGGTGTTAGAATCTATCCTGTGGCCGGTGCAGAACCATTAAAATTTATGAAGGGAGTGATAGGATTTTAAAAAAATGTATTTTGGACACATTCATTGGGCACTATTGTGCTTCCAATATGAAGAGAAGACTGTGAAGCAGAGAAAAGAGTCAAGAGGAAAAGTTTGATCCTGTGGTTTCACAAAATTAATGGATTTTTTCCCCTGATTTTCAAAATACTGTACTTTTTTGTTTATTCCCATAAGGCTTACAGCAGAGCTTCTTAG